ATATCTTATAGTGATTTTTATAAGCTTCCATTTCTGTTAAGAATGATTGTTTGATCAGGTCTGTTATAGTCTCACGTTTTTTATATATAGTAAGGTTAGTACTAATCTTGGGAATTGGTATTAACCAAGGTGGAGAAGTTAGGAAATTTGTTAAGAGAATTTCAGGAAATTTAAGATGTATGTCATGAAGGTTTCTTCTAATTCTTTCGTAAAATGGTGGATCTAGTCTTCTTGTAGAAAAAGTTTCTTGAAATCGATGTGTGAACGTATTGGTATAAGTAGGGTGTTCTTTATTACTAGCTATTTTAGAAGCATATGAGAGAGAAAGGTATTTGCGTCGTAAACTTAGTGGTGGTTATCCTGTTAAGCATTATAAACTTTCAACTGGTGTCGTGCGAAACGCGCCTGTAGCTATTCGTAAAGCTGTGTTTTGAACCGTTTCTAATGTTTTCAATACTGATACTTTGCTTGATGAGTAAACTATCGCACCGTAGTCGAGTTTGGATCTAATTAAAGATTTATATACATGTAATAGTGTATTTTGATCTGCTCCTAAGTTTTTGCTGGAAATAGTTTTCATGAAATTTAGTCCTGCTTGGCATGATTTTTTAAGTTCTTCTGTATGTTTTTTCCAGAAGAGCTTTTGGTCGAAAATCATACCTACAAATCTGATATTATTTGTGAAACTAAGGGTTTGATTATAAGTTCTTCTGTATGTTTTTTCCAGGAAAGCTTTTGGTCGAAAATCATACCTAAAAATCTGATATTATTTGTGAAACTAAAGGTTTGATTATATAGCTTTAGATGTGGAATTAGAGTGTTATGTTTTCGTGTAAATAAAATACATTTAGTTTTTGTCGGTGAAAATTGTAATCCGATAGTCCTAGACCATGATTCTAACTGATTAATTGTTTGTTGTAAATGTTTTTGAATAGATGTAGGGTTTTTTCCTTTGGCAAATAAAACTAGGTCATCAGCGTATAATCTTCCTTTAACAATCGGAGAGCATTGTTAAAGTATGTCGTTTATGGCTATTAGAAAAAGGGTTGAGCTTATAACTGATCCTTGGGGTACTCCGTTCTTTTGAAGTTTTTTATCTGAGTTAGCGTTGTCTGATCGACCTATGAAGCTGCGAGAATGAAGAAAATTGGAAATAAATTTTAACATTTTGCCTCTGATATTCCAATTATATCTTATATTTTGATATAAGGTTGAATGCTTGAATAAATGAACTTTGATAATATACAAGGCAAATATCGAGCACAGTATTAATTTAATCTTGCCCAAGTACTTTCGATCACTAGATCATCTTCAGGGGCATTTCGTCGATTGGTGCCTATCCGACGAGAGTAGAATGTCATAAATATAAAATGGGACATAACAATACACTACACAAAGACTAACAAATACTTTAAAATTTTTAAAGATAGGCGAAGCTACATGGTGTATAGAATTCTGTCTCCGGCTTCTATACACCATGTAGCTTCGCCTATCTTCAAAAATTTTAAAGTGTTTGTTTGTCTTTGTGTAGTATATTGTTATGTCCCATTTTATATTTATGACATTCTACTCTCGTCGGATAGGCTGCAATTGACGAAATGCATCTGAAGATGATCTAGTGATAGAAAGTACTTGAGCAAGATTAAATTATTACTGTCCTCGATATCTGCCTTGTATATTATCAAAGTTTATCTCATATTTGTTGCCAAAATTTAAAATCGAAATTTTATGTTAGATTTTGAAGATTAGGCTCTAACAATATAAATTCCATTAATTTCAAAATACGAAATTTGCATACCAAAGCTGCTCTCTTTATCTTTAAAACACATTTTTACTTTTGTCGATAGGGTACTTTGATCAAAAAATATCAAATTTTTACCGTCGAGTTTATACAAATTTTTTTTAAAATTATTGATTTCGAGGGCGTAACTATAATAATGCAAAATAAATGGTAATTTTAAGCGTTGTTTCTGAAAGAACAGTTGATTCTACACAAAACATGCTAATAAACATATTTGTTTAAAATTATCTCACCTATATTTTTTATTTAAAACATTTTTTTCTACAGCATACATATTTTTGATAAATCGATTTTTTACTTATACAATTTATTTTATATAATTTACTCAAGTGAACTAATTGTTGACATCCCACATAATATATCGATTGTGCAATATGCTGATAATATTGTTATTTACACTCGCCACAAATCCATCGAGATAGGCCGTAATCAACTCAATTATGCAATAAAAAAATAAGACAATTTCGGTGTTCTCACCAAATAAAATTATCATAATATTTGTTTCCTTACAAATATTCCACTAAATTTTTAGAAGTAATTTTAGATTCTAAATTATATACGTAAGAACACATAAATTATATAATAAACAAAACAAAAAATTGTGTTAATTTATTAAAAACTTTTGTAAATTCCTCCTGGGGAGGGGATCCAAAAACATGGTACAATGAATACAAGGTATGATATTGCGCATGATATTTTGACAGCTGACCCAGGAGTGTGACGTACCCAAGACCGCTCGAAATGGCCTCAACCCATTATTACAGCTTAACGTACACATGAATTTTAAAATTATGGTCAAAAAATGATCGAGTTTTTTTTAAATGTTTTGTTTTGATTATAATTAAATAAAAAAATATTTTTTCAGTAGCGTAAAACCTTTACTTTTCCTGGGGATATAGGCGAAATATTTATTTTTGTTTTCATACAAATACTAATGATATAAGCACTCTTTTTGTATGCAAATCCGTTCAATTTAAAAATTTTGTGCAGAGGAAATACTGTGAATAGGTACATAGTAAAAGGCCTATTCTCACTATAGTGCCAGGCATGTGCTCGGCTTGTGCCCTGCTCGAGACGCGCAAAATTACTTTAACGTTATTTAAATGGGTTTACCGACGGTCCGTTCTCACTACAAGTGCTTGGAGTGGGAACGGTCCGTGCCCGGCATCGGACAATCTTTTCAAACAATATTTTCCTAGCCCATGCCTGGCACATTCCTTGCACAGTCCTACATAGTGTGAATACTTCAGACGAGTTTCGACAGGCAAAACGGTGCGAAAAAAATTATTTTCACATGATACTGATGAATTTTTAATAGAATTAGTTAGTATGAGAAGTAAATTATACGATTTTATGAATCGACTGTATGCAGATGCAGCACATAAGTCTCAGGTATGGTGGGATATTGGAGAAAATATTAAAATAGGTAAATAAAACACTATATTTTATCTAGGTAATAGACCACTGCCGATAATATTTCAAACAAAAAAAATAATAGTAGGATGAAACTCGTTGGAAAAGAAAGATGATATGACATAAATAAAAGAAAAAATAATTTACGGGCGACCTGAGTTCGGAAAATGGAGGGAGTGAGTTTTTTAAGGTCAAAAATGGTTTATCGTGATTGCCTAGAGCAAGTCGAACTACATATCTACTAAAGCAAGTAGAACTACAAATAAAATCTTTTTGTAGTTAAAGTAGCTGGAACCACTATTGATTGGTGTTATAATTTCGATGTGCTTTTCATCTAGGGCTCCTAATGAACTTGGGAAAATTCTACGACAACCAAAATTTTTTGTCAATTTGTTCAAAATCGCATTCTGTTGGTAATTCTGCTGAAATTCGGCAATTAACATTCTATAATATATATAACATTTTGATTCATTATCCATGAGTTCTTTATACAAGGTATAGTATTCTCCTTCTATGTTTCTTTCCTTAATCATTGGATGTATTCAAAACCTCATTTTTTAACTTTATCTCTCATATTATCTTCTTCTTCGGCATCCAAAGTAAAAAAATGCAATTTTTACTTAAGTTGCCGTGGAAAACATTACAACTGCACAACTACCCACCGACACGTCTAACCGACTGCCTGTGCAAAATACCGCTGAAAGCATGCTACGAGCGCGAATAGTGTGAATATTTACCAAAAGCATGGCATGTGCCGGTCAGGTGACGAGCACGGGCCTGGCACGTCTAATAAGAATAGTTTTAGCGTATTCTGATTTACTGTCACTTACAAGGCTTGTATAAAAACAAAGGTTCGGCAATTAATATCGAATATCAATGGTGACGATGCAAATTGCAAATTATGAGATAATAAATATATTTTAAAGAGTCATCTATTTGATAATATAAAAATAATTTAGATATATGCTGACATATTTATGTCTCTTTATACAAATATCTACTTCGCAAGGCGTGCCTGTGTCTGAGACTTGTGTGTATTTGTGGTGTTGAGTTACTGTTTATTTATACTGTATAGTATTTTTTTGTAAAACTAAAAGTTTTTATTTGTCATTTTGTATATCTGGTTTTATACCTTTTTCAAAATGCGCTGCAATAGTGACAATGAAGATAAAATCTTTAGGTTTCATAGATTTCCTAAAGATAGTTTGACCAGAAAACTGTGGATAATATATTGTTGTAGACAGGATAAGTTTAATTGTAATATTGCAAGAATTTGTTCTAAACATTTCAAAATTGAAGATTACCAAAGAAATCTACAACAGGAACTTTTAAATTACGTTTCTAAAAAGGGTCCAAAACTTAAACCTGGGGCAGTACCTAGTCTTTACTTGCCTAAATCAATATCGGCTACCCATTCAATCAACCAAAAGAAACGCATAAAAAGAGCCGAACACAGAGAGTCCAAAAAGTATGTTGAGCAGCTTCTTACTACTTCTTAGTCAACGACGTAAGTCTAAATCTTTATTTTTATTAATTATTAGTCATGAAAAATAAAAAATATCAATAAATGAAACAATCAATTTTTATGCATAGAAAGGAAAAGCATACTTTTCTTTTCAGTAGGTATAATGGTTTACATTATTCTAAAAGGATATTACCTACCTATCTTTCTAAGAAAATGATAAATAAACCTCACTTCAGATGCATCACAACCATCTGCATGCATAGTAGCTGGCATTAATTCACTACTTGTTTTAGTCTTAATAAAAATATGTTATTTTTTCAGTCAACTCAAAGTTCAAGCTCAAGAAAGATATTGTAGTCAACTTAATATTGAAGATGTACCATCAACATATAAGTCAATAGGGTATGTTAATAATAATTCCAGTAGCAACTTGATTGTTTTCTAAAAGTGATGTAAAACAGTATGCAGACTAATGTGCTTAATTTTTTAGGCTAAACACTAATCCTACCAATAAGGCTTTGGAACTTGCAAATTCGAAAGAAAAAATTAAACTTTTAAATGAACAACTAGCTGAACTACTTCAGATAAAATCAGCATTAGATCAACTTTTTACACCGAGACAATTAAAACGTTTGCAAACCCCAAAAATTCGTACTGTATGGTCTGTGGAAGAAATATCCTAAGCTATATCCTTACATTCAACTGGTACTAAAACATACCGTTTATTTTTTTATGATTAAACATTATAATAACATAATTTTATTATGTCTTTATAACTACTATATATAAATTAGCGAAATTATATAAAAAAAACTTAAAATTAAAAGTCTTTACTATAAAACTACACTCAAATTTTGCGGGAATAAGCGGTTTTTACTACGTCATGCGCGAAAGCGAACCGATTTTGGAACATTATGTATCATACCTCTTGTATTCATTGTACCATGATCCAAAAATAATGTTACTATTTTATAGAACACTCGTTAGATCTATTTTAGATTACGGATCTTTATTTTACCATTCAGCAGCAGAAACAAATCTTATGAAAATAGATAAAATAAAAAACAAATGTCTTCGACTCAGTATTGGATACTTGAAAACTACGCCTGTAGACGTTATGGAAACAGAAACATGTGAACCACCACTGAATCTTCGGAGAAGATTTCTATCTGACACATTTGTGTTAAAGTTAAGAAGTCAGAAATTCAAGTTATTAGTTAAAATATCCAGTTAATCTCGTTTGGTTTTAACATTTAAATGTTGGGATATGAAAAAAATATTGTTATTAGTTGAAAGTTAGGTGTACTATACCAATGTATACATATATGAAGAATTTTATAAATCCAATGGTATCCCTTTATGGAATTATTCTCATAAAATGTTTCTTTCTCTAGTTAAGACCCATATTAACGTTCGCTACTTGTGTCAAAACAATATTATTATACAAAAAGAATGTTATCGAGATTGCATAGTAAAATGGAAAGAGTATGAAAAAGTTTATACTGATGGATCTAAATCGGAACATGAAGTTGGCTGTGCAGTTTATTATCTTTTCAAAAATATTAAGCTAATATACAAACGATTAGATAAGTATGATGTCAATTTTCAGTGCTGAGCTTATTGCCATAAAATTAGCAATTAATCTGTGTTTAGAACAAGAAGAGCATAAATTTGTCATATCTACAGACTCTAAAAGTTCGGTAGAAAAACTTAATAATCTGTTAAAATCCGTAAACTAATTTTCGAAACCAAATTCAGATTTTTGCTTTAATCTGTGTCTTCTAAGAAGGGTAAGATAAAACATACGTTGATAAAGATGTTATTAGAGACATGGGAAAAAACAACATTGCCCACTGGTAAATAACAACGGAGAGTTAATTCATAACACCAAAGATAAAATAGAAGAATGGGAAAAATTTATACAACAGCTGTTCCGAGATGAAAGAATAGACATTACAATAAATAATGTTACTGAAAGCCCACCAATTCTAAAAGTCGAAGTGGAATATGCCATTAAACAATTAAAGACCAATAAAAGCCCTGGACCTGATGAAGTTTATCCTGAAATACTTAAATTGATCGAAAGTAATAACATTGATTTGTTAGTAATTTTGTTTAATACAATCTACGATACTGGGGAAATACCAGAGGAATGGTTAGAATCTATTTTTATTCCCATTCCAAAACAAGCTAACTCCAGGCGATGCGCAGATTTTAGATTAATAAGTCTTATGAGCCAAATGCTTAAAATTCTATTAAAAATACTTCACAATAGGGTATACAAAAGGTGTGAAAAAGAAGTTGGATACGATCAATTTGGATTCAGAGCCGGAATGGGGACCAGAGAGGCCTTGTTTTCATTACAAGTACTGCTGCAGAAGTGTTACGACCAACAAAAGGATGTCTTTCTATGTTTTGTAGACTTTGAAAAGGCATTTGATCGCGTAAACCATAATAAAATGTTAAATTCCTTGCAGAGCATCAACTTGGATAGAAAAGATCTCCGATTAATTAAGAACTTATATTGGAGGCAGAGTGCCAAGATTAGGATCGACGATCATACATCTAGAAATATTAGTATAAATAAAGGAGTAAGGCAAGGATGCATACTATCCCCTATGCTGTTCAATCTTTACTCGGAACTACTATTCAAGCAAGCCTTGGAAAACCTTTCCACAGGAATAAAAATTAATGGAGAACCAATATCTAGCATAATATATGCAGATGACACTGTCCTACTGGCTGATACAGACACAAACTTACAGAGGGTTATAGACCACCTTAAGGATGCTTGTCGAGAGTTTGGAATGAAGATCAACGAAAAAAAAAAACAAAAGTAATGGTGATCCAAAGAAAACAGAATATCCCCTTACCTATATAAATAAATGGGAATATTTTAGAACAGGTAAACCAATACAAATACCTTGGCTGTTGGATTAATTGCAAGCTGGACCCAGAACAAGAAATTAAAGCGAGAATTGCTCAAGCTAGGGATAGTTTCTTTAAGATGCGCGTTCTATTTTGAGATACACATATAAATATTAAATTGAGATTAAAACTTGTAAAATGTTTTATCTGGTCTGTTCTTCTCTACAGAGTCGAAACATGGACTTTAAAAATAAAGAGCCTGAATAGAATCGAGGCATTTGAAATGTGGGTGTACCGTAGAATTTTAAAAATTCCTTGGACAACACGAAAAACAAATGAAGAAGTACTAGCTAGACTCAATTTAGAAAAAGAACTATTGAGAACAGTCAAAAGAAGAAAAACCAGTTATTTAGAGCATTTGTTGCGCAACGAGAAATACTACATCCCTCAGTTGATAATAAAAGGCAAAATAGAAGGAAAGCGAGGAATTGGAAGAAAAAAATTGTCCTGGTTACGTAATATCAGAAACTGGACAGGACTTGGATTTGAGGAACTCTTAAGAACAGCTGAAGATAGACAAACGTTTGCCACCATAACCGCTAACCTCCATTGATGGAGACGGCACTTGAAGAAGAAGAAGAGACATGGGAAATCTAAAATTTGTATTCCACAACATATCTCCTCAACCAAGCAGAAATCCTTAGCGAATTGGTTTCTTGTACTCGTTCAGAGTAATCGGAATAAAACAGAAAAGACAGTTAAGATTTGATTTCACGTATAGTGCGTCTATGCAGCCGCTAATTTCGGCCTAATAGGCTTCATCAGAACGCAATTCATAGTCGCTCTGAACGTAACAATAAATCTCTTCTGTCTTAGGAATCAACTCTAACATGGCTTCGAATGGACACAAATAGCGACATCTGATATTAATGTCTATAATAACATCTCCCATGTCTCATTAGAGATGGGAGATGTTATTATCAGCTGAGGCTGAGCTGCAGGCTACCAGCGGGGTCACAGATGGCGGATAGTGGATGGCCTTCAGATATGAACGTTAGTTGCGAATACACTGAATAAGCAATCCCCGACCAAGCAGCGGCCATACTGAAGGGTGTAGTGGGTATGCCTTAGGAAAGCATACCTTATAAAATACTACAATAGCCCAAGAAAAGTATTGTGACATGGCAATTATGCCGCCATTAAATAAGCACAGCCTAACTCCCTTTACCTTACCGACTGACTGCCGGGATACGGAGTCCCTCTCTTGTTAGTCAACAGCATCGGATGGACGAACTGAGAAGAGAATAAGGGCACCCACTTGTCCCTGGAATGAGAAATTGTCTCAAAAGGTGGATAAGCCGATAAACGGCCAACGGCATGAAAATATAGTAGGCAACGGAAAACCACTATACTAAAGATCTCAAAGGATATTCCAATAACAATCGTCATGTCAAGCAAGAACGACGAAATAACAGTTACTGATCAAGGATTCGGACCCCAAGGTTCGGCAGAGAAAGATCATAGGGCTTCCCCGGTTGCCAACTAGCGAAATCCCTATAAAAATTCTTTTAAGTTAAATAAACAAAAAATTAAAATATGCACGTGGAATGTTAAAACGTTATATGAAGCAGGAAAGCTTAGAAACCTCTTACTAGAAATGGCCAAACAACGGGCAGTACAATTCTCAAGACTATCGGATTTATTACTCCGGGACAAACGATGAGTTACATCAAAATAGCGTAGCGGTCATACTAAAGCAATTACTTGCAAAGTCTGTAAGAAAATTTGTCCCATATTAGACCGAGTATCTTCATAAAGTACTGGAGAGTATCAAGAAATGCCTTTACGGTCTTGAGCTCAATGAAGGGAAACTCCCAATTTGGTAATTGAAACCAATAAAATTGCTACGTGAAATGTTAAGACATTGTATAGAGCAGGCAAATTAGCAAACGCTGAAAATGAGATGAGACGAATGAAGTGGGATATACTTGGTATGTGTGAAGTGAGATGGGAAGGAGAAGGATATGTGGATAGAATAAATGGAAACCAATTCTATTATGCAGGCAAAGATGATGATGCCCAATCAGGTATAGGAGTGCTGGTAACAGCATCCATGAAACAACACACGAAGGGTTTTCTACCAGTCAGCGACAGAGTAATGATCATCAAATTAAATGGACAACCATTCGACATTAATATAATACAGGTATACGCCCCGACAGCAAACAGCACAGATGCAGATCTTGAGATTTTCTACTCCGATATTGAAAAGATTAAAAAACACATAAAATCAGATGACATCAACATATTTATGGGAGATTGGAATGCGAAAGTAGGAACAGAAAAGGTCGAATCGATCATTGGCCCATACGGTTTAGGAACGAGAAATGAACGAGGCACACGCTTTGTTGAATTTTGCCAAGAGAACAACTTGGTGGTTCTTAACACATGGTTTAAATTACCAAAAAGACGTCTGTATACGTAGAGGTCTCCTCAAGATTGCGAAGGAAATAATGTGAGGAACCAAATCGACTACATTACAATTGATAAAAGGTTCCGTAATGGTATTCTAAATGTAAAAACGTACCCAAGCTGTGACATAAATTTAGACCACAATCCTGTAGTTGCAACTGTCAGAATAAAACTTAAAAGAGTAGGCAAGGCTAAACCCAGTCAGAGAGTAGCATGGAGTAGTGCTGACCAGGGACAAAAACATATGTATAAAGACATGGTAGACACGCAGTTAGAGTCTAAGACATTAGCTCCCACTAAAGAGAAGACAATAAAAGAAAA